TTTTTAAGTTTAACTTTAAACATGATAAAACCCAAATTGATAAAAGATGAATGGGAAACTCAGGCGCTGTGGGTTTTTTCTCGGCTTTCCTCCCACATTCCAAAAAAAATGCGTGGTAGGTCAATGGAACTTTCTAAATTGTCCTTAGGTGTGATTGTGAGCACGAATGGTTGTTCGTCTATTTGTGCCCTGCGATTGGCTGGCGACCAGTTCAGGGTGTACTCCGCCTACTGCCCGAAGACAGCTGGGATTGGCTCCAGCACTCCTGCTCCCCTTGTGAGGATAAGCAGATCAGAAAATGGAAATGGGAAACTCTCGACTAAATTCTGCATTGATATCTTAAGTAAGATTTATTTGGGTGCATTTTAATACAGCACACTTTCTGCCTTGGATAGGATTTTTTTATTTCAACAGATTGTACAGCACAAGTGGGTTATGCAGTAACGTTATTATATTGTCCAGTTAACTCGTGCGCACTTCTTGGGATTGAGTCAAGTGTCGATGACAAAACAACGGGTAAGAGATGCTTGTGGGAATGCTTTTCTTGTGATTATGTTACATGCCTGTAGTGTTGGTGAATCAGTCATCTGTAGACTGTCACTGGACATGAAGATCCAAAAGCCTACAAAGTTTAGGGATGTGCGTGACCCCTTTTATCTTCGGTAGTTGAGGACAGTGTTGATCAGAAGTATTGATGTCATTTCTCCCATCAAATGAGGACTAGCTCTGGTATTAACTTAAAAAGTGTATTATGTATGTTAACATGAATGATGACCTTTTTTGGGGGGGAGTTTAAACAATTTTCTTTCATGTGTTCAATATGTACTGTATTCTCGTCCTTAATGCATTAACACTATATTTTTTGTTGTCACTTCTAAAAGATGAGCACTTTTATGGCTTAATTGTTCATGACTGCTGGGGAGTCTGCTTACGAATAGTCACTCTTGTGGTATATTGTCATGGTATCATTTAACTGAAAATTTCCAAACTGTGCATAAATTGTTCAAGTGTGAACTCAAGTTTCCACTCATTTGTTGTAATCTTGTTTGCCTGTTCTTGTCAATCTTTGTGTGTGTGTGCGTGTGTGCGCGCGCGTTTTTACAAAAAAATAACTTCACTGATTTAAGAGGAATGTGTTTAAAATTCATTGTGCTTAAAAATATATGATTATTGGTGAATGGGTGAAGAAAGATTTTTATGAAGTGATCCATACTTGCAAAAGATAGTTTTGAAAGGGAACCCACAGCGTTCAGATACATTTCCTCAATTTATAGAAGACATCGTCAATTCCATAAATATTTATTCTGGCCGATCATCCATGCTGTGAACATCGTGAAACCCAAACAGCAACAGTTTCATGCGCAATCACCCAAAAACGTGAACATTTGAATCAAGCAGATTTTGATTTGAATAAAACTCGGTGTACTTGTTGATAGTCATGGCACAACAGCAGCTCTCCAATTTTAGGTCAACCCTGTATTTAATACTTCCATAACATGCGCTGCATTATTGGACGCAGGCATGGCAAAACGCACGCTCGCTTAAACAATATGGTAGCCCAGTCAGCAAAATTGGTCTGGCCCAGCTCTGGGGCGGACACGGCACGACACTCGGCCCACATACCGCAATGAATGACGGTCCTGCAGTGGCCTGGGTCTGGCATCCATGATCCGGGCCGCATTCGGCCCGTATGTGAGCCGCATTGTATAACCATATCCGGCCCTACTCCGGCCCGAC